CTTCTGCCTACCAAAACATTAATTATTATTATTTCATTATACAGATTTGACAATTTTATTTTAAGCTGCTGGTGACCCGGGTATTTGCTTAAATTCACTTTATTCTGTATCTAAAACTAAAAAGAGTTATAACTCATCTTCAAAGATTACTCCTCATTCCTTTTATTCAAAAGGAAAGATCAGTGATTTTTGTCATAAATGAAGCCAAAGAGTAAAAATTTAATCAAGGATAATAGTACCTACAAACAAATTTACAAAGTATATAATCAGAAGATTCTGTATATGAAAAAGATACAGAATTTGGAGTTAGAAGATCCGAGTTACTATCTAAAAAATTGGTCAAGTAATCTCAGTCTAAGTGTCTTCCCTTATAAAAGAAAAAAATAAAAATAATATTCTATCCTTGTTCAAAATCTAATGGTCCTTTTAAAATGATGAACTATATAAATTTGAGTTGTTAGTTTTTTAGTGTTAATTATTGAGTAGTCACTTTTTACAAAGGCTATCTCAGTGTGTCAACTGTCTATGATTTTCAGGCAGTAAGAAATTATGACTTTGGAAGTTAGTTAAAGTTACTCATTCAGATGTCCAATGCTTTGCACAGCTACTGGAACCTTCATGTTCTAAAATAAATGCCGAACAGCTTTTACCACACCTATCACAGGAAATAAGTACAGATGATGGTGTCATATGAGATAAGACTACTTTAAAATAAAAATGCATTTAGCAGCTGAAACATAAGCACTATTATTTGTCCCAGAGAGAAATAAGGAAACTAGTTTTACAAGAAACTGCAGCACTCAGATGGTCATCAAAATTATTAAACATGTAACAAGGATATAGCGTACAGCACAGGGAAATACAACTATTATTTGTACTACTGCAGAATAAATTAAAAGAACAATGAAAATTAAGTATTAGATGGTACATTCTGGCCTATTTTGATTATATCTAGAGAAAAGAAAAATTTTACATAGCACATAGACATACTGTGCAACTCAAAATTGCTCTGTTAAGCAATGTTATTCAGTACTAATTAGGAAAGTAAGACCATGTCAAACTCTGGTAACTTCTTTAACCTAGACAGTGGAATCTCACCTTTGCATCAATTTCTTCTGCTTTCTCATTGGCTTCCTGTTCAATAAAAGCCATCATGTGCTTAATCTAGAAGAAGGAAAAGGTTCTTTTATTTTTGAATGACAAGAAAATATCTTTCCTGATTCATTCAACAATCATTTTACTGAAGTGTGTTTCCCTTCTCAGGTAATGTTGCAATGTTGTAACAAATCCAATATAGACTTTGAAAATGGTCCACATCCCAAAAAAACACACAAACTCTTTAATAGGAAATAAATACAATAATAAATATAGTTTATAAATGTTAAAAGACACTGGCCTCTGGAGGTAAACCCTGATTCAAACCTGCATTATCTGCCTTTATCACTCCTGCTGGATCCTCTGCGACTAGATCTGACTAGATCAGCACAGCCTAGAGCAAAACACTCATTTTAACCCCCATCAGAGAAGCCCGTTTACAGTCAACAGGAATACACCGTGCCTCTGGGAGTTCCAACAAGAGAAAGTCACCTGCTTCAGGACATTTAACTCCACCCCTAAGACAGAAAAATCTGCCGTTAAATTACACTTTTCTTCTTCCTGCTCAATCTACTCGGTTTTACCCTTTTCCAATCAAATTCCTTTGCAGATTTGCTGAAATAAATGACCATACTCCTCAGACAGGAAAAGCAACACGGACAAATACTTGAATACAGTGGGGGAAGGAATCTGGACACCCAGGGTTTCTACATGTCTGGTCTGCGCTTGGTGCTCAGCCCGGGTCACTGCTGAGAATTACGGGGAGCGCAGGCGTCGCCCTGATGGAGACCCCGCGGAGCGTGTAGGGGTACAGGCCATGCATTTCTCCACTCTTACCGTTTTACAGAAACAAAAGATGCCTTTGGTTTTCACCACGGTTTTACCTTTATAAGGTATTTTTCCTGGGGAACCCTTAGCTCTCGCTCTATCCTAATCAGGGGGGAAAAGGGCCGGCGCCGGGGCGTGACCACTACTAGGTTGTGTGGAGGGCACCGCGTCCTTTTCCACAGCGACGCTCAGACGCCGCACGGGCTGATGCTCACGCCCGCATGGCTCCGTAAGCACTTGGTGAAGACGCCTTAACCTTCCTCACAGACGCTGTTCTTGCCGCCTTCTGTGACCAGCCGAAGATGCACTTAAAGTGAGACACTTCGCCCTTCTGAGCGCTGATTAGGTAACAAATAAAACAAAGACGTTTCCGAGCAAATGAAAATTTCCAAGGAAGAAACACCGAATTCCTCATATAACAAGACTCACAAGACGGTGAGTGAGCGTTAGTCAGGGTTTTCCTACAAACTTCAGAAAGAAGGGGCCGACTTCCCTAAAAACCGTGGCCTGATGACCCTTCCCCGAAGACCGGGCCTGGACGCTCAACGCCCGCCCACCCCGCGAACGACGAGGCGCCGAGCCAGCGCCGCGACCCCTGGGCCAGCCCCGACCCGAACAGCCCCGCGGCACGCCTACCGCCGACGTCCGGCATCTGAGACCGGGCCCAGGAACCGGGGAGGCCTGGCCGAGGAGGCTACCGCGGGTCTCCCGCAGGCCGGGGATGCGCCCGCCTGCCTCCTGGAACCCAACTTGGCGCTCACCTGCTTCTGCACGTCGGCATCGCTGAGGGCCATGGTGGCAAGCGACGTGTGACGGCGGACGATCGGCGGGAGCTCAAGCCTGACGCAGGAGACGGGCGAAGGGGAGATGAAAGCCGGCGGAGTTCCCCGCCTCCTCGGTTTTGTGAGCTCGGCTTCCGCTTCCTGCACAGGACGCCTGGCAGCACAGCCAATGGGGAGAGAGCAGCCCGGAAGTCCTGCCCCGCCCCCGCCCCCGCCCCGTGAAGCCTCACGGGCTTTTCACCAGTAGCCGGCTTGGGGGTCGGATAGACCTGTTGCCTGTCAGGCGTCTGACTGTTGGCCGAGTCTTGTAGACTATGGTCTTTAAAAACGTTTATTTCTGCCAGCCAGAATTTATTTTACTGTCTCTGCCCTAATGGAAGCAAAAGCGTCAATATTTTACTTATTAACAGGTTTTTAGAGGAGCTTTTTGGAGAAGGGAATGGCAGCCCACCACAGTATGCTTGCCTGGAGAATTCCATGGACAGAGAAGCCTGGTGGGCTATACAGTTTGTGGGATCGCAAAGAGTCGGACACGACTGAGCGACTAATACACACATCCCCCCTCCAACAGAGGAGCTTTACATTTACAGAAAATTGAGAGCCCCTAAAAACTGGTTCCCGTAATAGTAGCCTTTTGCCTTTTTGGGGTACATTATATAATTCGTTAGCCAACGCTGATGTGTTGACAAAAGCCTACGGCTTAATCGATTTCCTTAGCTTCCCCTTGTTGCAGATATTCAGCCTCTTCACTGGTGCCAGACTAAATCTCAGAGATAAAGTGATTTAAAAAAAAATATATATATATATATATTTTTTTTTTGCATGAAGTAAAAAACTTTTTATTGCTTTGCCAGGAAAGGAGGGGCCATCGCAGGCTAATGCTCTCAAAACTATCTTGCCGTGGAGGGGGTAGTGAGTAGTCTTACAGGTACTAAGTCTTAACAGTAGTCTTACAATAGTCTTACAAGGAGAAGGGTGTGATCAGCCCGTGGACATTGTTCTGATTGGGTGAAGGCTGACATTATCAACCTTTTGGTTTCAGCTGGTCTGGGGTCAGTGAAAACTGGACATGAAACAAGACTGGTTCCAAACTGGGAAAGGAGTATGTCAAGGCTGCATATCGTCACCCTTCTTATTATTTAACTTACATGCAGAGTACATCATGCGAAATGCCAGGCTGAATGAAGTATAAGCTGGAATCAAGATTGCCGGGAGAAATATCAATAACACCTCAGATAGTGGTAAAGACTGTCTGCCAATGCAGGAAATGCAAGACTAGGTCAGGATGAGATGGTCTTCACTCATTTGGATTGCAATCCCTCCTTTTTATTTTTGGCCACACCATGCAGCATGCAGAGCTTCCCTAACCAGGATGGAATCCATGCTCCCTGTAGTGGAAGCATGAAGTTCTAATCACTGGACCTCCAGGGAAGTCCTCCTCCTGTTAAGTCCTCCTCTTGTTTATTTTTACAATGTTGTGCAAATACCTGGCGCTGATGAGTGAGAATAGCAAACTAATACATGTCTTGGGACTTCCATGGTGGTTTAGTGACTAAGACTCTGCACTCCCAATGCAGGGGGCCTGCGTTCAACCCCTGGTAAGGGAACGAGATCCCACATGCTGCAATTAAAAAAAAAAATCCCAAGTGCCACAACCAAGACGAATCAAATAAATATTAAAAAAAAAAAAACCTAGTACGTGTCTAATCACATATGAAATTAATGTCTGGGACAGATGTGGCACTATCCAGATAACTGCTTTTGTTTTTTGGAAAACAGTGTGCCGATTTTTATGATTATTATTTTCAGACATTAAAAAATACAGAAAAGTACAAAGAATAATTCAAATGTATATGTACCACCATCCAGTTGAGAATCAGCATTTGTCACATTTGCCTTAGGGCTTCTCTTTTTAAATAAAAGATACAGATACACTTAACATTCCCTTTTGTGCAGCTCACCGCCTCCCCATAAGAACCAGGTAAAGTTCACAGAGTGAAGCAGAAGTGAAAGTTACTAGGAGTAACATACCTAGATTAACTAGTTGGTGGTTTTCCAAATCCAATTTCCTCCCATATTAGCTTAGGTCTTGTGAAGAAGTTTTATTAAAACAGCTTTTCAGACAAATTCCAAAAATCCCATTCCCAGATAAGCCTATTTATTTATGTGCTATCTTGTCTGATTCTTTGTGGTCCTATGGACTGTAGCCTGCCAGGCTCCTCTGCCCATGGCATTTCCCAGGCAAGAATACTGGAGTGGGTTGTCATTTCCTCCTCCAGGGGATCTTCCCAACCCAGGGGTTGAACCCACGTCTCTTTTGTCTCCTGCATTGGCAGGTGCGTTCTTTACCTTATGGCTTCACCCAAATTGCTGACCTAAATTCCTTTCAGGTTAGTCACTTAGAGACGGTTTATATGCTCCTTGTCCAACCTGCTCCCAAGCTAAGGCCTCAGTCTGTGGTTTATTTGTAAACTGAGTCACCAAAATAGACAAGACTTCAGTTTGTCTTCTGGGGAGGACACACAGAGAGAGAAACTAAGGTCATCTGTCTTTGAATGTTGAGGAATTAATTTTAAAAAGAAAAAAATGATGGCAGAAAAGTAGTGAAAGTCTAACATAGGTGCTTACATTTTTGTGCCCCTTCCAACCAGTCATCCGCATGGCACAAAGTAATGACCTCTAATTTCTCCCCAGTTTATAACCTCCTGTGGCTCCCATGTGCTCTTGGGGAGTTGCCTGAACCGGCCCTGCCTCCTCACTGATCTCATCACTCCTCTTCCTCTTCTCATCAGTTCAGAGCTTTACTGGTTTGTTCCCAAGCTTTTCACCTGAGAAAATCTTTTCCTGCACTTGCCCCTTGGCTTGTTTATGTCTTCAGGTCTCAAAACATCCTCTTCTTAGAGAAAGCTTTCCATTGATGCCCTCTCACCTTACTTTTCTACTCCTGTCCCTTGTTTGTTTACTTCAGGATATGCCACAATTATAAGCTCCCCCCCCCCCCACCGCCGCCTTTTTATTTCTATGCTTTTATCTGGTTTTTCAACAAAAGTGTCAGCTTCACAACAGAGATGATGTCATGGTTTTTCCCGGCATCCAGCACACGGCCTGATAGTAGCAGGCATTCAGTAAACAACTGATGAATGAGAATAAATAGAGTGCGTATAATTAGAGTTTAGATTTTATAATCACATCAGGCTGCAGTCTAGGACTCTGTGTCACTTAAGATCTGTTGGGAAAAAAAACCCCAAACCTCTGAAAATCATGAACTGCTTGTGATTAATTTCTGTAAAAGGATGACATTATTTTACCACTGTTTGCTGAAAAGACTATCCCTTCCCCCATTGGTCTCTGTTGCAAAGCAATGAAGGACCATTCTGACCCTTCTATTCAATTCCACTGGCCTCTATGCTATCTTTATATACATTCAAAAACTTTTTAGAAAAGGGGTGAAAACAAACCCTAAAGCTGAAAACAGTCCAAAATTTACCTAACAATATATCAAATTGGCAACCTACTACACAGAATTATTTTACATGACTTTTTTTGTTTTAATTTACATAGAATGAACTGCATATGATTTCGGACACAGGAGCAGTAAGTAGCAGCGAACAGGAGCTGGAAACAAAGTCTTCGTTTCCTGGACAGGGAGTCCTAACCACTGGACCACAGGGGACAGCAGTTAGGTCTAGAGTCACCAGTCCCTCTCTAACTAGTTAAGAATGAATTCGGGTGAGGAAGAATGTAAAAAGAAAAAGTTTATTGAAAAGAAAAGTACACAGGGAAAGGCACACAGGGGAACTCAAAGAGAGAGTAACATGTCTTTGGTTAAGTTTAAATCCTTTATAAGGTGGCAGTTTTCCCAGTCTTTGTCTTCCCTCAGGCCAATCATCTCGTTTGTTCCCTCTCAGGTTGATTTGTCTCAGGACCCTCCCTGGGTTCACAGGCACACCTCGGTCAAGACAGATCTCAAAGTGAAGGCTTCTGGGAGGAGCAAGACTCATTATGGCCTAGAATTATCCCTTGACTTTTGACCCCAAGGAGCCATTCTGGGCATGTATCAAGTGTATTACTTGTCCCCAAAACAGGGGGAGCAGAGATCTCTTAATCCTTCACTCAAACAGGGTTTTGCCCTTCTTTGTCCTTGCCATATTATTACCCTAACTATTGTTATGACTGTTGTTACTTCCATTTTGGAAAGCAAACAGGAGGCTGATTGTAAATCCCTCTGCTGGAGCCCACCTATCTCTCATCTCAGGGAAGGCAAACAGGAGACTAGTTTTAAGTAGGTAATCTGAAGCCCACTTCTTCCTGCCTCATGAAATGCAAATAGGAGCCCAGTTGTAAATGTCAAACCTGGATCCCATCTATCTCCTACCTTACACAGACTTATGAAGTACAATTAGATGAGTCCTGACACCTGTTGACCACTATACTATGAAGACTATTTTCATCACCCTAGTGAGAGCTCTTTCTAGTCAATCCCACACTCTGAGGCAACAGTACTGATTTCTATAACCATTGATTAATTTTGCCTGTTCCTGAAATTCATCTAAAAGGAATCACAAAGTATGTGTACATTTTTAAGTCTTGCTTCTTTGACTCAATATAACCATTTTCAGATTAATCCATATTGTAACATATATCATTGGTCCCTTTTATTGCTGAGTAATTTCCGTACAATTCAAAAAGTCAACTTTTTAAAAATTAAGACTAAGAGACCGTTAAAAGATTTAACAACCAAGCACAATGCATGGTTCTAGTTTAAAACAAAAACCTTAAAAGCCATTACGTGGACACTGAGGAAAGTTTAACATGGCCCGATTAACAGACCCTATTAAGGAATGATTGATATTTTTCTTAGCTAAGTCTCTTCTAGGCAAATCTATCCGATTTCACTGCCAAGGCACCACCCGAGTCCTCAATCACGGCGGCCCAAAGCCTCCTAGGACACTAACTCCAACCCTCTTTCGGATTTCGCCACTCACCCTCTTATCAGTTCAGGTTTTCATCACTTCTTTTTTCACAGCTTTATTGAGCTGTGGAAAAAAAATATATATATATATATATATATATATATATATATATACTTCACATACACTTCATCTTTTTGAAGTCTGTAGACTGAATACAATTAAATGGCTTCCAGAGTATCCAGAGCTGCTCAGCCACCAGCACAATCAACCGGAAGACATCTTCATCACCCTAGAAAGAAACCCCTGACCCCACCAGCAGAAGCACTGCCCAAAGGGCCTTCTATCCTTCGGCCCCTCCTCCGGGCTGCGTCAGGCGCGCACTCACCGTGGCTCCCTTAGACTTCCTTGAGGTGCTACGCCGCCCCCACCGCCCCGCACCCTCAAGACCCAGATCCTCAGTGCTGCTGCGCCGGCGATCCCAGGACCTGACGCTCAGCCGGCTCGCCTACACACACGCTGCGCCTGCAGCTGCTCCCGCAGGCTTTGCCCGCCTCCGCACCCACGACTCTGGGCCCATCCCAGTCCGCCCCCTTCTCAGCAGCCCGCGGCCGCCGCCACCGGCGGAACCATAGAGCTGCTCTCCAAGTGGAGAGGCCAGGAGAGGGTGGTCCTTCCGGGTCACGTCTGCGAGAAGAGGCCTCCCCCAAACCTCTGTGGTCCAGACTTCCGCTCCGGAGGGCGGACCCGCCTCTTTGCGGCGCGCTCGCGCCCCGCCCAGACGCCGGCGGTGACGGAAGCACGCCGGGGTGACCTCACCCGCCAACATGGCGGCGGCGGTAGATTAGGGCAGCGGGTCCGAGCCGCCGCCGCCGCCGCCAGAATCGCGGGTTCGTGTGTGGAACGCCTGCCGCCGCCTCTTTCACCTCTTCGGGTTGCAGGGGCCTGAGCCAGGTGAGGGGCGTAGGGTCGCGGGCAGGCCGCGCCGGGCCCTCTCCCTGCGCCGCCGGAGGCGTCCGAAGGCCGACGCGGGAGACGAAGTGAGAAACTGAGGGCGCGAGGCCAACCCGCTGCCCCGCAGACTTGCCTGGGCGAGGGTGGGCCTCGGGCGAGGGGTGCGTGCTCGGGGCTCGAGTCCTGGCTCCCCTCCCGCCAGCCGGGTCGCGGCTTCTCCCTAAGGTTCTCGGTCCCTCTCTCGGCGGCTCCGACGCCGCTGTCATTTGCTGTTACTATTATGTCACATGTTAAGTTTTCCCACCCGTGGAGACACCTAAGTGGTCTCTCCCTTTGGTCTTTCTCCCACCATCTCAGGGCGTCCCTGAGTGTTTTTCCTTCGTGCTCGAACTTTCCAGGCCGAGGCTTGCCTGCAGGTCCTGGGCCCTGGCCGCCGCCCTGCGGAGCTTGCCCGCAGCCCGCACGAGCGCTGTTCCTCACGGGGCCCGCTCGCTGTCTCTGCAAGTTTTGAGCGAAACAGACGGTTCTCTCCCTCCTTCCTTTTTTTTTTTAATTTACGACTTGGAGCAAAACAAGTCCTGGGAAACTGTCAGTGCGATTTCCCCGGGAGGTTTGGCTCAAACCAGAATGCTGGTCTATGCCCTAACTTGTTGTGTGACCTTGGATGAGTTGCCACACCCTTCTAGTACCTTCTTTTTTTTGTCTTCAGTCACCCAGAAAATTAAGCATGTGTTTGTGTTGATAGTGAACTGTTGATAGCTCACATACGCAGCTGGATAAACTTAAACACCGTAAATTGCAAATATTTAAACAACTGTGAAATCTGCTTCAGTTGATAATAAACCGTTAGGGACTTTGAAATCTTTTTACTCTGATTGGTCAGGTACCATTCTCAGTTTTGTTTTTTGTTTTTTTTTTTTTTCTTTCCCAAATGTTGAATTTACTTATGCCGTCCTATATCCCCGTAGCTCAGTTCCGTTGAAGGATACATGTGGTCGAGTCCAACCCGTTTTGTAGAGAAAAGGTGCTGGTTAGCACATCAGTTACTCAATATTTACTCCATATCTTATTCGGCTAAGCTTTTAGAACAGGTGATTTGCAACAATAATGAGTATTGTTTTAGGAATATGTTTCTTTCCTGAAACGTTTTAGACATACAAAACAAGTTTTAACTGTGGTCCTGCCGTACTGCTTTTTTATCGTGGTTTTTCAAAGTTTGACGCATATCTTATTCCACATGAGTGGTCACCAAGGGTTCTTAATTAATATGTATTAACAGGGTTGAAGGGACGGGGCTATTTTTAGAGTAGCTGATTTTTTTTTTTTTAAACAGCGTTATTGAGGTACCATCAAGCCGTTCACGTGTATAGTCACTGACCGTAGAACTATCACTGCAGTTTTCAATAGCCTCAAAAGAAACACTGTACCCGGTAGCAGTCATTCTTTATCCCCACACTCTCCAACCCAGGCAGATCTGTTTTACGTTCTGTCTCTGTAGATCTGCCAATTCTGGATATTTCATAGGAACAGAATTAGACAATATGTGGGATTTTGTGGCTGGCTTTTTTTTTTATTTCCATGTCATAGCAGGTATTGGCAATTTACTCCTTTTTATGGCCACATAATATTGCAGCGTATGAATAGACCACATTTAACAAATTCATCAGTTAATGGGCAATCATTTCCGCAGTTGGACTGTTACATACTGCTGCTGTGACCATTCATGTGAACTTTTTTGCCAGGAGAGTGTTTTCTTCTTTCTGTTATATACTTAGGAGTGGAGCAGAGAAGCTGACAGTTAATGTCTCCCTCTTCTGCACATTATCTGCATACATGGGAAGCCTGATTACTTACTGTGAAAATCAAACTACATGTTTGTGGGGAGTGTGAGGCGTTCCTCTGTAAGCACATTATCTTCACATGCCAGCTGCTGAGTGGAGACCTTTGTGGATGGCTCTTAACACAGGGTTGAACTGGCGTCTTCAAATAGGTGTGTTTCAGTTAGAAAGTGATAATGTACACTAAAATAATTTAGTGTCTGCTGAATTTTAAAATGAAATGCTTAGTTGAGTTTCTCAGTTGGACCCAGTGAAATTTCTGTAGTTTCACAATATTTATTAGGATTATGTAACTTTTCTTTGGGAGAAAGTTCTAGAATTCTGTAAGAACTAATAAAGTATGGATTGAAAAGATGAAGTTGAAAAGAAAAACGAAGTTATTGGAGTTCATGTTAATTTCTGGAGCTTTAAAAAAAAGTCTTCACTCAAATCACCAATGGGATTGGAGTCTGGGAATCAGAAACTCTGTTAATGTTTAAAACTCCAGAGTTCATTTGTAACTGAATTATCTGTGGACTTTCACATTTCTTTTTATAAAACTGGGATTATAGATCTACTCAACTCCATATGGGAGTATTTAACAATATAATAAGGTTACCATTTTATTTTGGTGAGAGGAAATGGTCTTAAAAACAAAGCTTCCTAAAATAATGTAAATACATTATGTTAAATTGTAATGTGTTTGTGTTAACGGTTCTGTGGGGCTAAGAAATACAATATAGCTGTGATATTTTAAGTCAGTATTTCTGAGGTTGGTGTTAGAAGTTTGTCTGTAATAGCAGCCAAGGTGGTGGTGATGAGACAAGGTTGGGAAACAACTGCAAGACACTTATGTTGCTGAAGATTTGCTTTTCATAAGATTTTAAAGCAGAATCTAATAGTTGCTGTAGGCGTTCTGGCTACCCTTCATACAATATACCCAATTCCTACACTGCTGTCCTGGCATTTGCACTGGTCTTCATAGTAGAAATCCAGTTTTAGGAAGAGCAAACTGTTTATTGTGAGATTGTGGGTTTGACATTGTTAATGAAGGATCACCTATGTATAAACACAGGATTAAGTTACCCTGAGCTTCCTCAGGCCATCCATCTGGCTGACAGCTACCTGTAACTTGAGAGAGGAACTAGCTAAAGGTGCAAGGCTGGGCAAAACGCAGCTGTATTCAATAGCTTGTTAGAATTGTGCAGAAAAACAGGAATTTTTATATTGAAGATCATTCTTGGTTTAATCATTTCTTGACACCAAGAATACTTACACCTAATTTGAATTAGGTGTTCCAGATGGAATGCAAAGAGTAAAAGTGGCTATGTCTTTCTCATTGTTGGAAAGAGGCTTATGCTGTCTCAGACAGGAACATCCTCTGGTCGATGAGGTAGTAGTGGGCTGGACCTGAGCGTGGTCCCCTGCTTCCAGGAAAACTCTAGCTGGTGGGCTCAGAGCATGTTTACTTTTCCTTTAACCTGTCCCCCTCCCTCCCCACTACCACCCCATTCTCAAAGTTGACAAAATTGCTTCTTTCAGTACCCTGGGTGTCTGATATTTGGGACATTGCCTTGTTTTTCTACTGATTCTTCCCGTTGTCATTAGTGGGAGTATTTTCACTTCTGTGTCTTCTCACCTGCCAGGCTTCCAGGAGGTATGTGTTGGAAGGGTGCAGGCCTGTGAGGTTGGAACGGAGGAGAGTGCTCTCCACCAGGTGGTTGTGCTGTTAACCAGCTGTTCTGATTTTCGGCAGATAAGTTGTCTACTTCTGTCTCTCCATCAATTAAGTTGAGAATGCTACTTTTTCCTTCTGGTGAGGATTTCTGTGACAGTACTTCAGCAGTGGAGGTCTCATGCAAGGGGAATTTGTGGTATGTGTTAGAAATGCAGGAGCCCTTGGTTCAGCGTGCTGACTTTAGTCTGCATAGAGGGTAGCAGAGGGAGTGGGTGCCCTGTTCCCAGAGCAGCCAGCGGTGAGGCTGTTCAGTGTACACTCGGCACATTCTCAGTGCCTTTGAGAGCACCCAGCAGCAGGGCTGTGGAGTGTACACTTGGCATATTCCCAGTGCCTTTGAGAAATTGTAACTGAATAGAAATTCACTGGACATAAAGTAGCATGTCTTTTTAATTGAAGTTGATGTGCAATATTATATGTTACAGTTATACAGCATAGTGATTCCAAGGTTTTAAAGGTTATACTCCATTTACAGCTATTATAAAAATTGGCTATATTCCCGGTGTTGTAGATACATAGTAGTGTTTCTGAGGTCTGCCTGCCCCATCGCTTGAACCAGCTGCTCCACTGCTCCGAAACTGGCAGCTTAGGCAGAGTTAGAGGAGCTGGATGGATGTTTTAACCTGTGGGTGTGCTGTGTTTATGACTAGGATGTCAGAGACAAATGTGAAGCTTAAAGACTATATGCTAAACTGAAATGACTTAAATGTGTGCGAACATCTTCTTCCTTAGTGTGAATCATGAAGAATGATTGAGTGTAATAGAATCTTTCATCAACCGTGTGGATGTATGGATACTGACATGTATACTATAGCTGAGGACTTCATTGTGAATAGGATGGTGAATTTGAAAGGTGGAGAATTATGAAATTACGAGAATTATGAAATCATGATGGCATTTGTCGTTCAGTCATCAAGTCATGTCCAACTCTTTGGTCGGATTTATGGCAAAAGATGGCATTTATGGTTAAGCAGTTGGGATTTCTAAGGAAATTTGAAGAGCACTAGATGAAAAATCCTAGATGCTTTGTCTGTAGCATCTGGGTTGGTGTGTAATTAAAAGTGTCTTCAGAGATA